ACTTTTAGCTTGTAGCTAACCACTTGATACTTCTAGCTTCTAGCTAACCATTTGCTACTTTTAGGTTGTAGCTAACCATTTGCTACTTTTAGCTTGTAGCTAACCATTTGCTACTTTTAGCTTGTAGCTAACCACTTGCTACTTTTAGCTTGTAGCTAACCACTTGCTACTTCTAGCTTCTAGCTAACCACTTGCTACTTTTAGGTTGTAGTTAACCATTTGCTACTTTTAGGTTGTAGTTAACCATTTGCTACTTTCAGCTTGTAGCTAACCATTTGCTACTTTTATCTTATAGCTAACCATTTGCTACTTTTAGCTTGTAGCTAACCACTTGCTACTTTTAGCTTGTAGCTAACCATTTGCTACTTCTAGCTTCTAGCTAACCATTTGCTACTTTTAGCTTGTAGCTAACCATTTGCTACTTTTAGCTTGTAGCTAACCATTTGCTAATTTTAGCTTGTAGCTAACCATTTGCTACTTTTAGCTTGTAGCTAACCACTTGATACTTCTAGCTTCTAGCTAACCATTTGCTACTTTTAGGTTGTAGCTAACCATTTGCTACTTTTAGGTTGTAGCTAACCATTTGCTACTTTTAGCTTGTAGCTAACCATTTGCTACTTTTAGCTTGTAGCTAACTTTTTCTACTTTTAGCTTTTGCTAAGCGTTTTCTACTTTTAACTTTTAGCTAAACATTTGCTGCTTTTAGCTAACCACTTGCTACTTTAGCTTGTAGCTAAACATTTGCTATTTCTAGCTTTTAGCTAACCACTTGCTACTTTTAGCTTGTAGCTAACATTTGCTACTTTTAGCTTCTAGCTAACCTTTTGCTGCTTCTAGCTTGTAGCTAGACATTTGCTACTTTTAGCTTCTAGCTAACCATTTCCGACTTTTAGCTTCTAGCTAACGTTTCGCTACTTTTAGCTTCTAGCTAACATTTCCTACTTTTAGCTTCTAGCTAACCTTTCGCTGCTTTTAGATTCTAGCTAACCTTTTGCTGCTTCTAGCTTGTAGCTAACCATTTCCGACTTTTAGCTTCTAGCTAACCATTTCCTACTTTTAGCTTCTAGCTAACCTTTTGCTACTTTTAGCTTCTAGCTAACCTTTTGCTACTTTTAGCTTCTAGCTAACCTTTTGCTACTTTTAGTTTCTAGCTAACCACTTCTTACTTTTGTTTTTAATGATTCAGTTTGTTTTTCAGGACATTTCAACAGATTAATGCTGTTTTAGATTGGAGTTATTTTTCTTCAGCCCAGAACATTAAACAAACAGAGAAGTGTTCACTCCACCGTGTGTAAACACACACACACAGACACAGACACACACAGACACACACAG